TGGAGAAGAAGGGATTGCAGTGTAACCATCTCTCCGGACGGGGGGGTGGGGGGGTATCATCCTCTCTCTCTGCCCCTAGTGAGTGCACATGGCCTATTACAAAACAAAACAAAACAAAACAAAACAAAACAGGCTGTTTGCCCAGGGTACTGGAAAAGCCCTATTTCCTTAGCCAACGTTCAAGGCCCCCTGATACAGGTTCTGCAAAGACCATTGACTTCGTACCTGAGTGCTTTTATGCACACGCTTCCTTCTAGCCATTATCTTCTCCTGCTTTCATCTGGAAAAGAGTCTTCCTCGGGACCAGCAGACGGCACAATGGCTATGTCGCTGGACTCCCACGTAGTCGACCATGATTGGAGTCCTGGATCTGGCAACTTAAAACTCATGCCAGGCGTGTGTGCGTGTATGCCGAAAAATTCCTAGAGGAGAATGGAAGAGGAAGTATTGCCATGTGGCCATCCCCCCTCCCCACCCCGGTGGTGTGATTTCTCGCTTTCTGTCTCTCTCTGTCTCTCTGGTGAGTGCATGCACCCTATAGCAAGAAAAAAAAAAAAAACCTCTCTAAAAATAATAGAAAAAGAAATACAGAGCCTTTCCCAATCTGAAAGGCCAAACTCAAATGTCACATCCTCTGGACAGCCTTCCCACATCTGCCATCTATCCTCTTCCTCCAGGGAGACTGACTGCTCCTTCTTATGTGCTCCTAAGGCCTGTCTCTCACTTTTCCTACTTGCGGGATAGTTGGCTTTTCTTTTTAGAGTTTATTCCATAGGTGTGTATGAGAGACAGAGACAATACCCCCAACAGGATCTTGATACAATCCGCCCCCAGCCTCAGCAATTCCAGATGACTGGTAGTCGTGTGCCCGGTACCCTCAGAGAGATCTCTGGACTTGAACCAGCAACGTCCCATGTGAGTCTGCCTTGCCGAGCATCACGTTTTACCACTGCACCACCATCTGGCCCCTAATGGACTTCTTCTGTGTCTGTCTCTCTAGTCAGATGTAAGCATTTTTGGTATACCCTGCTCTTAGCCCTGTATCTGACGCATACTAAATATACATGTTCCTAAATGTTGACCGAATTGACTCGCGTGATTATAAACCAGTTCCTTCCTGAGCCTTCTGGGTTTCAGTCATTCCTGGCTTTCTGAACACTGGGGATCCTGCTTCCCATCCCACTGCATGGGTGCATTCTGGTTATTCATATACCTATTCCGTATTCGGTAATTACTGACTCTGACGGTGGGTGTCCATCTGAAGTGCAGATAAGTGGATTAATCACAGCACCCAGCTATGAGCCATAGGGACTAACAGGCCCTTCTGAGCTGCTGCTTGCTTTACTGATTCCCGTGAACCCCTATGCATGGTGGATGGCGCCAACACCCTCAAGGGGGAGTCCCCAGGAGTGGGAAAACAGTTTTAGCAAAGTGCCATTTTGGAGACTGTCTTCTGAATGGTCTGTTGACACTGCTGGCCCAGGCAAAGAGGGTAATTATGGGTTGAAGAAAGCCCCACCTCATGGGAGCAGAGCTAGGGGTACTGAGGAGTGCTGCTTGAGTTGTGGGGTAAGCAA